CCACCAAACCAGCCTGGTGGACATAAGCTTTCAAGGAAGCTTGAAATACATGTAAAATTCAAACAGTGGATCAAGGAAATGACGTGATCCGCCTACAGTATGAGTTATAAACGCACCTCACACAATCTTAAGTTAATAGGCTGCTTAAAACGTTGTGTCTCTCCTCCAACTCTCTGAGTCACATCTATGCCTGCCAGTCCTGCAACAGTCTGGTCTTCAGCTTGAAAATATCTATGTGGCAATGTATTTCAAGGAAGCTTGAAGAGCATCTGCTTTAACATTGAGGCCATTTTGTCCTCCACTGCAGTCACCTGATAAAATCTTTTAGTGTTACATCGTAACACTAAAACGATGTTTAGTTACGATGCATCAGCGTCTTTCATACAGTCTTTTTCATGCGTTATTCTCCATTTGCAGATCAGGATTGACTTGTACTGCAACCCTTGTCTTACATATAGGCTACTTAAGTATGTAGGATCTCCACTCAAACTCGCATCACTGGATTATAAGGCCAGACGTCTACCCAGCACATCATAGAAGACATGGCAAATATTTTAAGGACCCTTCATTTTGAAATGTAAAAGATTTAAATAAACACATGAACTAACTGGCCATGTGCTTGTTTCACATCGTCACCCAGGAGATGGTAGTTTGGGTGAAAATTGGAGAAAATGTGTTGGAATATTTGCTAATATATGGCATTTTCACTCCAACTTGGTATATTTTGGCTGTCTCTATTTTTTTTTCAGCATTTTTTTCGTGTAATTTCTAACTTAGACCTGACCATTAAAAGAGCTGTCTGTGCATCTACTGAGCAGGTGTAGTGTGTCATTTTTAAGAATAATCTCAAGAATCTGGTGTGTGTGTGTGTGTAAGCAGGAACTACAATGACGACCCGTCAAGTTGGGATTTTATTCATTTAGCAAGTCTTTAGGTGAACTGTTCAAACTGTACATGTACTTTTGCTGCGAATGAGGAGTGTTGTGGATCTGCTCCTGTTTGTGGAGCTGCAGATTCACCACTAGAGGGCGCCATCAATCCTGTAGCTGCTGCTATTCACCAATCACTACTTCAGACCCACTGTGTTTAACCTTTGAGTTTTAATTTAATGCATCATATTCAAAATATTTGAGTTTGAATTCATTTTGTTATATTAAATGTTTCTTAAAGGATGCTGAGCAGGAGGATTTTAAAGTCTGAATGAGGTCCAGTGATGATCTTTGGGTGTCACACTAAAGAAGAATAAAGTGAACACAAACACAACTGAGACATGAAACATAAATAATTATGAAGTTATAGTTTATTTCTTAATGTGTTACTCATTAAAAAAATGAGTAATGATTAATCTGAGATGGTCTAGTATATTTTATTGAGCGGAGTGATTCTCCAAACCTCGTGGTGGAAAATGTTTTGCATATAAACTCCTATCACTGCCGTCCTGTGACATTACAGTACATCATTTGTATTTTTACGCTTTTAAGCTCCAGCACACCTCTGCTTTAAATGAGAAAAAGATTAAAATTTCTTTAAATAAAATTCTAACGGTGAATCAAGGAAATGACGTGATCTGCCTACAATCTTAAATTAACAAGCTGCTTAAAACGTGTCTCTCCTCCAACTCTCTGAGTCACATCTATGTCTGCCTGTCCTGCAACAGTCTGGTCTTAAGCTTGAAAATATCTATGTGGCAATGCATTTTAAGGAAGCTGTGTGATTGAAGTGTTACTTTCAGTTTGGGGGTTCCTCAAGGACTTGTGCTCAGTCCTTTGCTCTTTAATCTACTTCATCTACTCCACATGATCCATTGCTAAACTCAGCAATGAACAACTCATGCACTTCATCAACAATTCGACAGGAGTGGGACTCAGGAGAAGTAATGATGGAAATGTGTTTAGCTGATGTGGCGTAAACAATGTGCTACTTATTGTCAACACACTTTGTGGATTTGATAAGTAAAAACAGTTTATGGAGTGTTAATTCAGCAACTCTCTGCAGAGGATGAACTTTCTCAGCAGGCTGCAGCCAGAGCAAACTCCACCCTCCATCCTCACGATGGTTTCCTTTCAAAACATCACACCAAGCTGCACCACATTTTGGTCAAACAGTTGTAGTACAGCTGACAGGGAAACACTGTAATCGACGGAGAGAAACAATGGGAGAGTCAAACAAGTCTCACTTCCTTTCTCTGATGCAATTTTCATATTAAAATATTAAAAGAATGTCCTATGTGACACTCCTCGCCCCACAGCTGTCGCTTACGAGAGGGAGTGGCCTGGATAAAAATAAAATGCCAAGTTGCTTCAGGAAACTTTCTCTGCTTTTCACCTGGATTAAACACTTTCATATCAATATATTTTTATGACAAGAGGAATGGCCTGACATTTCTAGAGATATTTTGAAAGAAATATAAAATGTAACAACAAATTGTAACTGTAATTGTAATTAATCAGAACTTTTCTAGTGGACTGTCTTTATATGCAAATGTGTTTTCCGTCTCATTTTGTGCTTGAGTTCTTTGTGTTACTACCCGAGTTGAAGTCTGTTATGTTGACCACTGTTTTTGGTCCAATTCATCATTTGTTGAAATATTGTTTTTTTTTTTTAACCTTTGTTAAAATAAATTAAGGATATTTTTGGAACTACTCAGTATCTCTCTGGCTGGCAGGTGTTAACTCCTCACACTAGTCTACAGTCTCGCATGACTAATTTTAACTCTAAGAAAATACTTTTCTTTCTCAGAACTTGTAACTTCCTTCTCATGTCACACTCAGTTTCACAATACGCATAAACTTCTGGTTTTGCTGCAGATTCAACCAAAAGGTTAGCATCTGTCAAAGCAATGGAGGAAATCTATATGAACGTTGATCCTGTGAAAACGGTCTGCCAAATTCCCGTTACAAAAAATGAAGGTAAGAACAACACGAGAAAGAGAAGCATGCATATATTTTGTTGTTATTATGTGGCAGAAATGAATGTCATTGAAATGGATTTCCTTTGTGAAGGTTCTGGCAGATCCAAGAAGAGGCTCTATGTGGGTGTTATCATCTCTCTGGGGATCCTGAATGTTTTCCTGCTGATTGGACTCATCAGCCTTGGTGTTTTCTGTGAGTTTTGTTGTCATATGTTTAACTGTCATCAGCTTGTTCTTTATTTTTAAAGGCAGAAAATAAAAATTATTCTCTCATCAAAATCTAGAGTGGTTTAACTATTCTCAGCTTTACAACCAACTTTTTAAGCTAAAGTTAAATGAATAGTTCTTATTAAGCTTTTCTCTAATAATATACTTTAATTACTTTTAGCTCACGATGTAGGCAGCCTGGCAGCCGATCTCACCGACACCAAAGACAAGCTGACGGATCGTCTCCAGGTCAGCAATGACCGGCTTTCTGACATGACCGAAGAAAGAGACCGTCTGAACGCAACCCTCACGGAAATGTCTAACGAGATGAGCAGGCTCCAGAGTTTGTTGAAGAAAAGTAAGTCTTTAGGAGTTTGTGAGAAAACCTTATTTTATAAAGACAGATCTTTATAATGCAGGCTTTAGTTCCTTCCTCCAGGGTTTCACTTATTGCCTCCTCCTCCATCTGCTGGTATTTTATGTCTTTTTAACTGTTACTGGATCCTCCAAATAATCTGTTTATTGTTCCAATTTTAATGACTTGACAAATGGGTGATTAAGCAAAGTTGACTTCCTATTACTGTCATAATTAGTAAGCAGTGTTTAAAAAAAGATATTCTTTTATCTTTTAGAGAAAACCTGTCCTGCAGGATGGAGGATGTTCAGCTGTTCTTGTTATCTCCTCTCTGCATCGTCTGGCTCCTGGGATGAAGGCAGAGCGGACTGCAGGACCAGAGGAGGAGATCTGGTGGTGATAAATAATGATGATGAACAGGTGATGTGATTTTTCTTTCAGAGATTATTCATTTATGTTTGCAAATTAGATTAATATTTTTCTTTCATACTATAATATGAATATTGTGAAAGATGCTTCCTTATTGGCGCTAACCTTTTTATACAGACCACAGACATCATTAATCTATTATACTGTTACACATACAACATGCCTGTGTAATGCATATTGCTGTTTTGAATATGTTCACTTTTAAATCTTTCTCAGAAATACTTCACACACTGAAAATGCATCCGAAAAAATTCTAATACTTTAACGTGAACATTTTAATTTTAAACGGCACAGTCATGAAAAAGAGTCCGTCCCCTACAGATTTCAAACAAATTAATATCACATAAAGATAAACTCATGTGGTCCAGATGCAAGCAAAGTCCTGAAATCGCCTCTATTAAAGTTTCACAACTTGGTTTTAAATATTCTGCTATTAGAGCAGAATAATCTAGTCCAGGTTTTAGGTGTTGTAGTTTTTTAACTAGAGTAGATGAAAGACAATGAAAAATTAGGTGGAATTGCCCTTTAGCAATTTCCCGACTTAGACGCTGCATCTAACTTCAACTTTGTTTTTTTGCAACTTCATCTTTGTGTCTCAATCCGTGTATGGTTCGTTCTTTGTTTTTTTCGTTTCAAAATAAAATTGCAAAAACTAAACAAGCATGTGTTTTTTTTTTCCCGGTTTTTAAAACCTAAATTTAAAAAATGCAAAATCGAATTAATAGAAAATCAACAGCGTTTGAGTTTTGCTTTGCCATCTCAATAAGAATAAAATACGGTTGTTGTTTTAGTAGCGATACTGGAAATGAAGTAAGTCGCCAAAGAAGAATCACTTACAGTGGATGAAGACGGCATAAAAACAAACCATTCCTAAATAATAGGCAATGGCTGCACTTGAACCGTTTTCTGCATTGATTATCAAACTTTTTGAGAGAGGAAATACACTCTGAAATCAGTTATGCTTTGCGTCGCCATGTGTGTATTACCGCCACTACTGGTAACTGAAAAAGGTATGTGCCGGGAGTTCAGGTCTTCATTTCCGGTTCCGCCATAAGGTCCTGTTGAATTAACAACAAAATAAAAGCTCGTCTTGAACCATACACGGATTTGTCTCTTACCATAATATTCTCATCTGGGACATCTTTAGATGTCGTTAGGAAACGTTGTCAATCATCCTCTGTGTCTCTCGTTTAAACCGCACCACCTCTACCGGCATTGCAGAAACTCAACAAACATCCTTTTCACCCAAAAAGGGAACGCACAATTTTTCAAAACAGTTTCTCAGGATCTCAAAAAAGTAAGTCAGGATAGCTTTTTTTTGTCTTCTTTGTCTCAATCTCGCCTTAGGGACTCTGTGCCGTAGAGAACCGCTGAAAATAGCAAAAACAACTGCAAACTCGCTCCACAAAACAGAAGTGCTCCAGACCACTAGGGGGAGTCATACGAAGAATATTTTATTTCATTCCATTTCTTAAGCCCACACACTGAGACTGTGAAAAAAGATGAAGATTTAGCTGTTTTTGTATTTATTTTTCTTCCGTACAACGAAGAAGTGTAGGACTGGCCTTAAAGAGATACAAACAGTTAAAGCTAAAGAGGGATTAGTTGTATTATTTAGAAAAAATGTTTTAATTAGTAGGTGAATAAATTCTGAAACCTTTAATAGAACAAAAATATTTTTTACTTTGGCTTTTGTCGTGATATGTTGCATTACATCTTTTTCTATTGACAGACATTTCTTTCTACGTTCACCAATAAACAAACATGGATTGGTTTGAATGATAAAGAAACTGAGGGATCCTGGATGTGGGTCGATGGCACTCCGCTGTCCCAGCTGTGAGTTTTCCACTTTTTTCCTTATTCATTGCTGATGGCAAGAGCTCCAGTTCTACTGCTCCAAAACACAGTTGGTATTTAGGATTCACAAAGATCATGTGTTGCCTTTAGCTGTTTCAGGGGTTTGGCTCTTAAGAGCCAAAGAGAAAAAAATTAAGTATACAAGGGTCTGTGTGAATGTTTTTTTATTATTATTTTACATTTTCAATCTCCTTTGCTGTTATTGCTTCACCTTACTGTTACTGTCTTGATAGAAATTGTTGAAAATGTTTTTCCACAGCAGCAACGTTGATCTTTACAACAGCAACATCACAGTATAAACTCAATATACTCTTAGAAAAATGAAGAACTCCTCCATCAATCCTTCCTCATTACTGTTAACTTCCAGTAGGTAATGTTACCTGGTAGATGGAGGTAACATTACCTCCATCTCAGCTAGTAGCTAAGTTTACAAAGTTGGGACAAATTTAAGATTATAGGCCAGTCTATAACACAGTGCACTTTCAATTTATCGTTTTTAACATCTGGAAACATTAAAATATTGCTTTATATGTGTCTATGCTTGTAAAAAGAGATGAATTTCTAAAGTATTGTTTTGTTACTCAATGGTTTTATTTAATTTAACGTTACCTACAGTAGTGAGTCCAGGTTTGAAGTGTTCATGTACAGTAACTTTTAAACTAGAGCAGATTAAGGTAATAAAAAATGAGGTGGAATTTCCCTTCAGCAGCTTCCTAAATCTGATGCTAAAATTGGAAGCAAACAGCAGCTTTGTAAAGGTCTCAGTGAAACATCAGTAGTGGTGTTGATGTCTGTTTTTGTTGTTGCTGTGGAGCATGGCTGTGCAGAGATGTTTGGAGGGGCAGATAATCAAAGTTAGAAAATCATATTTTTTTTTTTTATCAAATTCTTGATGAAAATTTGCCTGAAAAATACATAATACTACCACTTTAATGGACAAAAAAAAAAGACTTGACCAAATGGCTCCATGGCCCCCTGATGAGCTTAGAATGTCAAAGTTCTTATCATTTTAAAATGCTAAAGATAAGCTGTGAAATTGTTTTCTTGTTTGCAGACTTACCAAATACTGGGCGACCCCACAGCCTGATAATGGTGGTGGAGACCCACGGTGGGGGGAAGAGGACTGTGTGCATATCAGGACTTATGATAATGTGTTATGGAATGACCTGAAATGTTCTGCTTCTTTTCAGTGGGTCTGTGAAAAGGATCCAATCTAATGTTGGGAGTGTGTTAGTACGGAGCCCCCTAGGGGACATAGGGAAAAATGTTTCTTTTGCGTTACCTGGCAATATGCTTACTGCAATATTTCCTGGTCTACTTTGTATACAGTCACAAATGTCGATTTAAAATTTCAAATGTATAAACATTTGAGGAGCCTCAGTGAAAACCTGTTCATTATCAACCCTTTGGTGGAAAAAAAAAAAAACTGATTGAAAATCGATTTATTCACTGCGTGTTTATGTCTGTTTGTGTCAGGTTTAGATGGAAATGCACGTGAAAACTTAAAACCATTCAGACCAACACACACACACACACACACACACACGCACACACACACACACACACACAAAACACAATCAAAACTGTCAGATGACTTAATATCCCGTGATAATAGCTCAGAAATAGTCCAAATAGTTTGAACGTATTATTTTCTTTCTTTTCTACTTATGGAAAGTTTCTGTTTAGGTTTGTGGTGCATTTTTATCGTAAAGTAAAAGATACAAAACTTCAGATATGTCACAACGAGATATTAGCATACACAGAAAAACCTTATGTAACAGCAGAAAGTACGATGCCCACCGTAAAAAAAGCTTACAATATTCATTTGTGCCGCATGAACTGATCAGTACATTATTGCGAGGGAACGCAAAAGGGGAAAAAAATCTCTGTATGTTAGCTTTACAATTGAGACTAAGTTTAGTTTGCTCTGCTGTATGCTTGACCGCATTGTTGTCTGTGACTGCCCTCTAGTGGTCTCTGTGAATATAAACATGAAGGCCTGATTGTAATGACAGCAGTGTTGAAAATCCAAAGGGTGGCGCTAAAAACATCAAATAAAGAAATAAACAGCTCAGAACAGAAGAAAACAGAAGAAAAAAACCTACAAGACTTGTTTTAAGTATGACAGTGAGAAGAGATTATGTTTTTGACCCCTTTGTATTATTTCTCAGGAACCACAAGGACAAAAAACTGCATTATGTTTTTTTCCATCATCACCATGGACAGTAATCTGTCCATGGTGATGATGGCGTTGGAAAGTGTTGTACAGATGACATTAACTTGAAAAGTTGGATCTGTATGTTGTAATTTTTTGCGGCCGGCTTTTTAATACAATTAAATAGTAAACTTTCAAATTCTGGAAGTGTCATTTTGTTTTTTTCTTCAGGTTCTGGTGATCATTCAGATTACAGATTACTTCTGAAAAAGAAATTATGAATCACTGAGAAAAAATGAAGTTCCTTCCTTCATTTCTTTCTTTGTTCATTTCTTTCTTTGTTCTTTTTCCAGGTTTTATTTCTTTAGTATAGTTTACTAAAGTCATTTTCCTTGAAGTCAGAACATCCTTGTGTGGTCTCTTTTAATGTTACCCCACCAAACCAGCCTGGTGGACNTTTTAGAGAAAACCTGTCCTGCAGGATGGAGGATGTTCAGCTGTTCTTGTTATCTCCTCTCTGCATCGTCTGGCTCCTGGGATGAAGGCAGAGCGGACTGCAGGAGCAGAGGAGGAGATCTGGTGGTGATAAATAATGATGATGAACAGGTGATGCTGTCTGCTAGTGAGAGATTATTCATTTATGTTTGCAAATGAGATTCATACTTTCCTTTAATAGTTTAATATGAATATTGTGGAACAAGATGTTTCCATATTGCCCCTAACCTTTTAGTACAATCTACATACTTCACCATTGTGTTATACTATTACATATACCACAATACCGCTGCCTATTTAGTGCATATTACCGTTTTGAAAAGGTTCAGTTTTAAATGTTTCTTATAAATATATAATACAGTGAAAATGCACACATAAAATTTTAATAGTTTAATGTGAACATTTTAATTTTGAACAATACTGTCGTGAAAAAAATGTCTGTCCCCTAGGGACTTCTTCTTTTCTGCTTATACGTCAAACATATTGATACCACATTAAGATAAACTGAGTAGATATTAACCTTAGCATTTCTGACTTTATTTATGAAAGGAAAAAGATGTGCACACCAACCTTGAAGTCTCCAAGGTTTTTAGGTTCTCCAAACCTATAAACCAGGTTGTGTATCTGTGTTCAATAACAGGTAATGAGTTTGAGGTTTTTCATCACTGTGGAGGAATTTAAGCCCAATCTGGTTTGGTGAATTGTTTTAATTCAACCACATTGTGTCATATTTGGGTTCGAATTCTTTATTGACCTACACTGAAACACATTGTGTGTTTAGCTGTGTATTTTTATTTTTTCCATAAAGTAAAAAAATACGGAACTGGATCGAAAGAAAAGGAATCTTTCAGATTAAAGATTCATTGTTTTATGAAGACAATGAGAAAAATTTGAATGTTTTATTTTTTAGGTGAATAAATTCTGAAATTTTAATAGAATTTTTTTTTTGACATAACATAAAGCAGATAACTGCTGTACTGAAACATTACTATTTTTTCTATAATGTTGACAGAATTTACTTTCTACAATCACCAATAAACAAACATGGATTGGTTTGAATGATAAAGAAACTGAGGGATCCTGGAAGTGGGTCGATGGCACTCCGCTGTCCCAGCTGTGAGTTTTCCACTTCTTTTCATATTCATTGCTGATAGCAAACGTAAAACTACACTTAAAAAAATAGGTGTTAAGGTTTTTCACATTAGGAAAATGAGTAAAACATTTATTCTTCTAATAAGCTCATCTTATCCAGTCCTAAATATGTTCATATTTATTTAGAAATTGAAAACAAACTAAGGAACACATGCAGGACCCCGTTACTAAAAATAATATATGAAAAAACAACATTTCTATAACAACTGAAAGCTACCTTGTGTGTGGGGTTGGTATTGCTTTAAATGGCATTGTTTAGAAAACACATAATACCTCACCAGGTGGCTCTACATGGCCCCCTACAGAACTTAAAATGTCAGATTTCTTATCATTTCATAACATTGCTATATATAAGCTGTGAAATGATTTTCTTGCTTGCAGACTTACTAAATACTGGGCGGCCCAACAGCCTGATAATGGTGGTGGAGACCCACAGTGGGGGGAAGAGGACTGTGCACATACCAGGAATAGTATGTCATGGAATGATCTTAAATGTTCTGCTTCT